CAAAAATACAGAAAATAAACCCCGATAAAAGCCGAATTAAAACCAAATATTACAAGCTGTGTTTCCAATTAAAATACTTTTAAAATTATCCCTGCCTAAAATCCTCCCTAGGTCAGGCCCGCTTGCTGAAAAAGCCATGTCTTGAGGGCGCGGCGGAAAGTAAGGAGATCCGGAATCATCCGGATCTCGGGGGGTAGTTTATAGAATGCATGTCCTTATATAATGAGTGGGTCTCACATGGTTAATAAAATGAAATCTTTACATTTGCTATGTACAGTTAAACATTTTGGCTAGTTAAAAAGTAAGAAAGCTGAAAATATGGAAGGCTATTGGGTAACAGCATTCATGGCCACAAGAGTTCATTTTGTGTAACAAGGTATGTTGGGTTGCTCTGATAGAGTTTGGCTAATGTTAACATAATCTTCACAGCTCAAATGTAATAATATAGAAAACAATACTTTCAGATACTTCAGCTAGTGTAGAAAGCTAAATATTCTGAAATAATAAATCTTAAAATGAGGTCAAAGAATACTGCATAGAACCTATGGTTTTAACACTTCTGGCTAAAAATAATTTTCAGTAATAGGAAATAAAACATTACCTATGCCTTAAGATGACATTTGAGGGCTAAAAATATAATTTTAGAAGATAAAGAATCCCTGTATCTAGTCATTTATTTAACACTTCACAGGTTTTTCTTTCCGAGTACCAGTTTTAACTATGCTATGACCATAATTATAAAAATATGGGTTTCTCTTCCCCTTCCAAAAAACTTCAATCTTGTGTTATCTTACATAATGTCAATCCAATTATAATCTTTCATGGATTTTTTTTTTTGCAGTAGCTATCATAATGAACATGTGTTTGTTTTTAAGGTGCCACAAGACTATATTCATACCATAGTTGATTATACATATAAGACATCAGGTACACCTCCATTCACATTAAATAATTGCCAAGTGGCAATTGCAGAAAGGGTAGTATGGTACATTCTTCCAGAAGGAACCAAGCAGTGTTTTAAAGAACTTCCAGTAGCTGACTCTTGTTTCCACAAAAGATGATACCTGATAGGTTTTGCAGGTTTTGAACATGAGAAATTAATGTTTCCCTTCCAAATAGTAGCAGCTTCTGTGAATAGATAAGTTGTACATCAAGGAAGACATTGTTTTCTTTGATGTAAAAGAATAACAAAATTGATGAAACTTGTACAATAGAGTACAAGAGAACACAGCAGCGTAGTTAAACCAGTTTTACAGGATGGTATTTCTTGCATCTAAGTCAATTTGCACGCTACTTGTACTATGCAAAGGTACACTGATGAATGATTTTAAGAATTATGTAAGATATTTTCTTGCATATATTCAATTACAAGTTGTAGATCATCCACAATTATACTTTCTAACTCATTGCTTTATCTGGCCACTGAGAACAGTCAGTATAGCTGACTTAAATAATCTAGCTATATATTTAGAAATTATCACTTAAAACCCTGTAAGGAATTAAAACAAATGGCATTTTTGACACCCAGCATTATTTTTCTTGATTTATGCTTGGCTGTCTCTTAATATTTCAAGGCCAACTTAACTTTCCCATAACACTGTTAATGTTTACTCCATAACTGATAACTGACAAAGGAAACCTGATCAAGGAATGTTATCAGGATGACAATATGGGCCTTGTCTTGTATGCAAATATTGTCTATGACAGTGGTTCTCAACCTGTGGGTCGGGACCCCATTTGGGGTCGATCGACCATTTCATGGGGGTCGCCAAGCAAGGCTGTCAGCCATTTTTTTTGTCCGTCTGCCATTTTTCCCCCCTTTTCCGGCGGGTGCCTTACCTCCCTTGGGCTGGGCCAGCTGGTGGTCGGCTGCTCCGTCTCTGCCGCTTGCCAGCTACGCCTTGGCCAGCGCAGGGGGCGGAACCACGCATGTGCGGCGCTCCCGGGCAGGGAAAGTCCTCGACTTACAACCGGTTTAGTCCTCGACTTACGACCGGTTGGTATGACCGGTTTAGTCCTCGACTTACGACCAGTTGGGGTTGCGGCATTAAAAAGGTTGAGAACCACTGGTCTATGAGCAAAACCGCCCAACAGATAAAAACAGAAATAGCATCCACTGAGTTCCAGATTTTGTTGAGCCTAATGATATTCAGGTTTAGGTATAAGATTTTTTTTATTGACATCATACGAATTTTATACTGTGGTCCCAAATAGCACATTATGCTATTTTTCTACATGATAGAAAACAATGTGAAAACATTAAACCACATATAGTGTTACATAAAGACAACTATTTAGTAGATTTCCTATATAACTATAGGAAAAAAATGTCTTGAATGTATGTACTTGAATGTATGTATTGAAATATAGCTGGCATTACACGTAATATATATTATATGAAAGTTTTTCATGTACATGAAATGAATAGGATCAAATAGTATTGATCTTTCACTGACATGTCAAGGTTTTGAATCACTCTAGGAAAAACTATTTCAAACTTGTTAACATTTATTTTCCAAAAGAAACAGGGAGCTTTTCCAACAATACTAGTTTGGTTTTCAAATTTAAAGTAATAGGGGGCAGTGCCGTAAAATTCAACCCAATTCCACTGGTGCCAGGAATATGCACAAGGACTTTGTGAGTTGTCTTGTAATGTGACAGTTGAGCTGAATTCATCTCCATAAGTACATGTGTATATAAGAACATAAGTGGGTCGCCTGGTTTGAGGTCTTCCCTTTTGTCATATCTGTAAGAGAATGAACAGTGTAAGGTAAGAAAAGACTTGAACCATATTTCATTCAAGAGACTTAGGTTGTGGCCAAGCAAGAGGAAGGATCATTATGAAAACAATATAGGAAACAACCATGAAGCAGGAAATAATTACATAGAGCAGTGAGGACTCTTAAAAGAGCATTTGGTAGCTGAATGGTCGAGAGATTACTTTGTCAAAGAACCTGATTTTTTTTAATACAGGATCATGTTAACCATGGCAGAAAATAGGAAGGTAATACAGTATTAAAGCTGTACTTAAAGTAGTTCCATCGCTGTTGGAACAAATGGCAAACACGTTATACAGCACAGAATGGGCACAGAAATAGGTGATTTAAGAATTTGGGGGTTCAGAATCATTTTATTAGCCACAAAAGCAAAAATACTACAGGTAATGGAATGCTATACAAAAAGTAAAATAGGCCTATGGAATGGGACAGAGCTACCCCCAATTGTAGCTATGGCAATCAGAGGAAGACTAGTGATGGCCAGATGAAATCTAGTTAAATAAAGTATGTCTCTTGTGTTACTTTCTAAGTTCTCTGTTATTTGAAACTAGTTCTCAACATCTACAGGTAACAGCCATACTGAATAGGATTTTGGGAGTTTTTCTCCCAGCAAATTATTTAGATCAGGGATGGCTACTTACAATCTTGGGACTATAAATTGCTTCCGACCACTTCCTAGGACTCATTCTGAATGTAATTCCTGAAAACTGATGGTAGTGATATGATTTTCAGACAAATGAAATAGCCCTCAAAATTTCTCCAGCCGCTTCCCCAGAGAAGGAACAACAAAACACTTCCTCTCAGTTCTATGTGTACCACTCTTTGCCCTTTGCAATCTTCAGATTGCCGACTTATTGACTGATAAGTGTGGCTCTCAGCAACAGTAGGCTAAGGAAAATTATTGAGAATTCAATTTCTCAGTGCAATGCAACTCCCTAATTTTGGTAAACACCTTTTTATGAGCAAAAGCTCCAATAAGCATTTATCTTAACAGAATAAGAGCTGGAAAGGATCTTAGAGGTCTTCTACTCCACCCCCCTGCTCAAGCAGGAGACCCTATACCATTCTCTTCTTAAAAACCTCCAGTGATGAATCACCCACAATGTCTGAAGGCAAGCTGTTCCACTGGTTAATTGTCCTCACTGTCAGGAAATTTCATCTTAATTCTAGGTTGCTTTTTTCGTTGATTAGTTTCCACTGTTTCTTGTCTTGCCTTCTGGTGCTTTGGAAAATAAGTTGACACCCTCTTCTTTGTGACAGCCCCTCAAATATTGGAACACTGCTATCATGTCACCTCAGTCCTTTTTTTCACTAGATTAAACATCCAATTCCTTTAACCGTTCTTCGTATGTTTTAGCCTCCAACCCCCTAATCATCTTTGTTGCTTTTTTCTGCACTCTTTTCAAAAGAGTCTCAACACCTTTTTTATAATATAGTGACCAAAACTGGATGCAGTATTCGAAGTATGATTTTATTAAAGCTTTATAAAAGGGTACTAATACTTCACGTGATCTTGATTCTATTCCTGTTATTGCAACCTAGGATTGCATTGGCTTTATAATTTATATCTTACTTTATATAATATAATATATAATATAAATATAATACTTTATATATTATACTTTATATAATACATAATCTAGAATATAATTTATATCTTACTTTATAAGTAAATGTTATAATCCAATGGACTTAGTTCTCTAAGAACACATAAAATAAAAGAGCAATTCGTGAATTATATACAACTTAGATTGTACGCAACAATCACTGGAGTTTGGCACCAACTGCCCAGAACTGATGAATTTGGAAAAAGAAAAAAATGGAATGAACCCATTACTTGGGTTTTGAATGGGGTCTAAACATTTAAATAAGTATTAGCCACAACTACTGTTTGTTTCCAGAACAGTTTTGCAAGCCAACTGATTCTTCAGTCAATACTATAAATTTCTAGAATGAATCTCATGTTCACGGTCTTTAAAAACATATCCCTTGCAGCTTTTGGAAGCTCCCGTGGCTTAGTCTTTTTCATTGAAGCTCCTGTTACAGACCTTGAATGTCTGTATATGACTTTCTGCTTCACTGGCAAGATAATTTGAGTGGGAGGAAAATTATTCCAAGCAACCTCTCTGTCTTCATGCACTGACTATCTCAGCATCCTCCAACAGTGAAAAGGATGGAAGAGAAAAGTTTTTTGTGGAAAGAGAAGAGAGACTGAAGGAGCTAATAGGAGAGCCTGGCTGGCTGGCTCCAGTTAATCATACCAATTAATGCCTTCAGTCTTGCTTGGTATTTGTTCTGCTCCCATCCATCTTTTCCTTTTAATATTTATGAGCTCAAGAGCTACAAGATTGCCAAATTCCTGTCTGCCAACTTCCAGTCTCACTGAAGAACATATGCAATGAAAATAACATGGCATCTCCAAGCCCCTGGAGTATGCATATAAATGGCATACAATTTGTACACCACATTAAACTTGTGAACACATGCTGTATCTCATTTCCCCTGTTCCATTCATAGCTCAACTTTAATGGATGACTCCCTGTGATTAAGCAAACATGGATGAGCACCATTCCTCATTAACACTAACTAAAATTTGCACTCAACTAATAAACCTGGGTTTCCAGTACACCAGAAGCGGTGGACATTCCATCTTCAAAAGTCACACTTCCTACTAAAGGAACTATATATTCACATAAATTAAAGTAGATAAAGGTGTGGTGCAAAAACATCTACAAACCAACGAATAGCCATGCTTTAACATTCTAATCAGACATGGTGACTATCCCGTGTTTTTGTATTACAATTAACAGAGAAGTGGTGCATTCTGATTAACCTGATGTAATTATTACGGTAAGAATGTAGTATATGCATTCACATTAACTAGCTGGAGTAGTTTAACATGTTGTGTAAATGTGGCCTTAGAGGGTAGTCCAAGGAACCTCTTTTCCATCATCTACAAAAATCTCCTCCTCCAGAATTTCATATTAGTTACCAGGTTGATATGTCAGCTTTACCTTTTAATTGAAAGAAGGACTTTGGGCTAGCTGCTGGGTGAAACTAAACAACTGGCCAACGCTTCGGGCAGTGCTTCCCTTTGAGTAAGCTGTTATTAGAATCCAGATTCTCTTAAATATTATTCTAACATTCCTGACCTGAATAAACCCTTTCATCCCAAATCAAAGCTTGTAATGCTAAGAACATCAAGTTTGGCCAGAATCAACTTTTATGTCAAGCCTACTGTAGTCCATCTTCAAAGCAAGGCAATAAAATGTCTGTAATTTCTTAAGGTTTTGCTATGCAAGAGAATTAAACATCAGATGGCTCCAATGAGCTCTGAATTTATTTTGATCGTCAAGACTTAATGAACATGCATAAAAGAATGGTTCTCCCATAGATCATCTCAGATCAACATGAAAGGCTATTTGAGATCCTCTGAGGCAGCTGAAAGTACTTACTTCTCTGCATGTATTGTGTCTACACAGAATGGGCTACAACTGATTTTTTATTTTGTGAGGTATTTCCTTCACCATGATATTCAGGCAATGTGGATGGATGGCCAGAATAATCGGTAGCTCACTTTAGACAATTTACATCACTACTTATTGGGAATAAAGAGTTATCTGGATAGCAGTCACTGAATCAGATTGTAAGGATGTAACCTTAGAAATCATTTGTAGTCTTATTTTGTATTCTTTTTGGTTACAGATTTCAAGAAGAACGTGCATGGATAAGGAATAACAATTGCTTATTTGTTTGTTGCTCTCTTTTAGCTAATTAAACAAAATAGAGGTTAAGGAAAGTGATGAACAATATCTTGTGAATTGGAAGTACTAATAACTTTTGCTTAAAGGAGAGCCAATTTGGTATAGTGGTCAAAGCACCAAGTTAGAAATCAGCAGACAGTAACTTCTAGTTCCACCTTAGGCACAAATCCTAGGATCAGTCTCTCTCAGCCCCAGGAAGAAGGACATGGCACCATTTAAAAAAAAAAAAATTTCCCAAGAAACAGCAAGGATTGGTCCAGGAGTCAATACTGACTCGAAGGCACCAAAAGAACAAAACAAAAATCCTCTCAACAAACAAACAATAAAACCCTCTCTTGACCTACAAAATACATGCATTTCAATCAAACTTTCAGCAAGAAATTGAATTGAAACTGTTACAAACACCTTAGTGTTTGATCCACAACAAAAACTGAAAAATACTACCCTACTGGTTCTCCCAGATTCCTTCAATAATGATATTATGCTGCATTGTTTTTGTGGTGGTTCTGATCCTTTCTGCTAAATCATGTGCAAAAAGATACTAGTGCCTCATAGGGTATTATCTTATCTGGCATGCTCTTCAACATCTACATAAAATAATTAGGAAAGGTCATTTGGAACTTTGGTGTAGGGTTCCATCAATATGTTGATGATACTGTTTCTACTGCTTCTTATCATCCAACTCTGTTACCTAAGTTCATTAACAGACTGGAAGTATACAAATTGAAATTAAATCCAGGCAAAGCTGAGCTGAGGTTGGTTAAATGTAAATTGAATGACTGAGATTCAACCTTTTGGGGATGAGTCTACACTTCCCCTATAAATAAAGTAAGGAATCCGAGGTGCCAATCTGCTCCTTGCTGCCAACTGGAATTGCAAGTGATACCCCTATTGAGAAAATTTGCACAAGTAAGGTTCATGACCCCAGCTCTGTTCATTCCCAAATGGGTCAAATTTGGGCATCCTAAGTTCTATGAACTTGCATAGGGTTAGCCTGGAAAATCATACAGAAGTTGTAACTAATGGAAAATGCTGTCAGAAGGCTGCAAACCTGTGCAAATTATGGAGGTCACGTAGTACCCAGGCTAAAACATTGCCTATTATTTATAAGGCAAATATTGTGGTGTTAACATTGAGGAGCATGACCAATCATTAGGAGCTACAGGAAAAGCCCTTCTGAAAATGCCCTTTCTGACAGAGATTGATCTAACTGGCATGTAGAAAAAGGCCTTCTCCTGAACCACTTTCAAGCTCCCTCTGGAGTTGCATTTAATCACCACGATTTCAGTATATAGAAAGGCAATAGAGGCATATCTTTTTATCCAGGGTTTTATCTTTTAATTAGTTTAGTATTTATTTTAATATTTTTATACCTTTTTAGCTATCTCAAATGCTTGCCTAAACAGAAAGAGAAGTTATAAAACAAATAAGTGCATTCTCACTTGATTTGCATATATTTAATTGATGACTGAGATTTTTGAGTGAGGAGTACACCCAGATTTTGAAATGTGCAACATCTTTATCCCGATTTCTATTAATGTAATTTGGCAAGAACTATGAGCTCTTGGTTTTGTGTTTAATATTCAATGATACGAAACTTCAACTCTGGGGTTGACTTCAAGTTTTTTTAACCTATGCACACAGCAGTATCCCAGATTTATATTAATTGGAAAATATCTTCCTTTGATGTTTGCAAAAATCTAATAAACAATTTTAAACATCTGCCTACAATTCCAAAATTACTTCGATTTCATAAACAAAATATAAAGAAACCATAAAAAACTTGTTTTTAATTGTTAGTTTGCTAGGAGGTAGTTTGAACTTAGGTACATATGTTGTATAAAAGAAACAGCTCCTTATTTGAAACTAACCCTGACACACATAAGTAATTTCTGACACACCCCTCAAATTAAAGGGGTTCTGCTTAAATATAAATGCCCTTGGTCTAATGAACACTATGGAATACAGAAAGCAAATGTCCTTAACTAGGACAAGAAGCTATCAGACCATGCATCAGGCTGGGCAGAACTTTGATGCCTGGTGGCCATATTTAATGTTTTGGAATGACAGGGCTGGATAATGATGAACAAAAATGGACTTTTTTTCCTGTACTAGGTTTGCAGTACAATGGTTGTGTTTCCCACCTCAAAATGGTCAGAGTAATAGTGAGGTAATAGAGGGCTACAGAGATGAACAAAAACTAAGTTTGGAGGCCACACACTACACATTCCTGCCTCACAGAAGTTAATTAAATTTAAAAAGGAATCCTACCCAACCCTGCTGGGAAATTAGAGGTGGACGATCTCTGACATTTCAAGGATGTTGCTGAAAATTGATGCCTACCATCTTCCATTATTGGTTATGCTTACTAGAGCTGCTGGGAGTTGTAGTTCAGCAATGTTTAGAAGGTCACTGGTTCTTTTACTCTGATCTATATAATAGGGTCTCAATTTTTAGATAATCTGCATGTTGATTCTTAATGTATGCTTGGCACCTCATCTTCACTGCAAAGAGAAGGACTCCTAGGAGACAAGGAATACACAACCTGACCTTTACTTGTGCCTTACTGTTGAATTCCAGTGCAACATTCTAACTAACTAAAAGCTTGAAGAATATTAGCCCTGAACACACAAAACCAAATATAAGAGCAAGAGATTTATCACAATGATAATTTCATTCATATATAAAGGGGTGTCCAATCTTGGCAACTTTAAGACTTTTGGACTTCAATGCCCAGAATTCCCCCATGACTGGCTGGGAAATTCTGGGAGTTGAAGTCCACAAGTCTTAAAGTTACCAAGGTTGGACACTTCTGATGTATAACGAATTGCAAAAAATAAACTTTCTTACAGACACAAACACACAAATACAACTTACTTCCAATCCAAGTTGACTTCTAAAAATCGAGAAACACCAGTCTGTGCCGCAGCCCCATCAATGTGGACAGAAACATCTGCAAAAAAACAAAAACAAAAATATGTGAAAGCAAGGAACAATTTCAGTCTATACTAATGGGCAAACTTGTGGATTTGTAGTTTTTTTATTATAGATATTTTATTAATTTTTTATAATTACAAATCTTTATTGCTTAATAAACAAATATGTCTGGGTTCACATATTTGACATTAATAGTAATGCAACTTCCATTTCTACTCTCTACTCCGTTTTTCTAGCCATTTATAAAAATTATCCCATGTTTGAAAATATTCTGTATCTTCTTTCCCTTTCATTTTCAATGTAAGCCTATCCATTTCCACACAATCCAAGATTTTCCTAATTATGTCTTCTTCCAATGGTGTTTCTTCATTTTTCCAATACTGTGCAAATATAATTCTCACTGCTATTAATACATGCAATATTAAATATATACATTTTTGTCATAGTTCTCTGTGATTATTCCTAGAAGAAATAATTCTGGCTTAAAATCTACATTTTTTCTTAACATTTTCTCTAACCACATATGTATTTTTGACCAACATTTTTTTGCTTTAGGGCAGTGGTGGCGAACCTATGGCACGGGTGCCAGAGGCGGCACTCAGAGCCCTCTCTTTGGGCACGCGCGCCGTCACCCCAGTCCTAGGCCTTCAGCTGGGTTTTATAAATCCTTTTCGCTTTAGACCTCCGCTGCCGTGCGCAAAAAAAAAAAAAAGGTTCAATCAGTCAATTTCAACTTCTCGCGGGAAAAAAAATGATATTGCAAAGTTGGAATTGATTGATTGAACTTTTTAGTCCCACAGTCTGCCATTACCACCACAGCCATGCCCACCCAATGGGCCACGCCCACCCAATTGGCCACACCCACCAATGGGCCACACCCACCCGGCACTCGATGATGCATAAGTGGGTTTTGGGTTGCAGTTTGGGCACTCGGTCTCTAAAAGGTTCGCCATCACTGCTTTAGGGCATGTCCAGCAGAGATGATAGTATGTGCCTGGCTTTTGCCTACATTTTCAACAATTACTAGATATATTTTTAAACATTTTTGCTAATCTTGCAGGTAGTAAATGCCATCTATAAAACATTTTATATAGATTTTCTTTATAAGTAGCTGCCCTTGTTATTTTATAGTTTCTTTCCCACAAGTTTTACCATTTTTCTAATTCTACATTGTGCCCAAATTTTTTCCCCAAGTTATCATTGTTTAACTTCTTCATCTTCCATCTTCAGGTTTAACAAAAATTTATAGAGTTTCTTAATCAGTTTTTCATCTGATGACAATAGTATCTGGTCAAACACTGTTTGATTTTTATAAAAACCATATGTTTTAGCATCTTCTTTGTATCTCATTTGTAAGTGTGGCCACCATGATAGCTCAATGCCCTGTTCTTCCAATTCTTGTTTAGTTTGTAATTTCCCATCAGTATTCAAAATGTCTCTATACATCACAAGTTTCTCATAGTTGATTAGATTTGGGTGCACAAATGCTTCCATTCTCGAGATCCATCCTGGTATTTTCATATAAATTTTCATTTTTATCTTTTCCCATGTCAAAAGCAAGGCATTTCTTGTATAGTGATTTTGAAAGTATTTATGGATTTTGTTCTTCCCATACCATAGAAAAGCGTGCCATCCAAGTTTTCTAATTGGGATTTCAAATCATGAATTTCTTCCTTCATTTTATCAAAGTTATCTTTCGTCTCTTCATGATTTCTCTTCGTGTCTTCTTTGGGTGAGGTAATAGCTCCTGGATTAGTCGTAGTGTGGTTTGCATTTCCTTCTGGAAGCTGTTGGTTTTTTTCTTGCTATAACATTGCGTCAATTGATCTCTGATACACAGGACTGGAGGTAGTAGAAGATAGCACTGAGGATGTTTTTTTGCTAATTTTAGCTAGATTAGGAACACTTATTTTTATTCCCACCCTCCAGAGCTTCTCAGCTCTAATATATTCCCCAGTTATCAATCTTATACAAAACCTTCAATCTTATAGTCAGTATTACAATATATCCTTTAAGTTCATTTCAAAAAATTCTTGTAGTCTTTATCTGTGGTCTCTTGTAATCTAATAGACTCCCCCAAACAGGGGGAGAAAGGAGAAAGGAGAGTTTGTAGTCCAGTTCTGTCTTTCAATCTCAACTCCAAATAATTATCCAAAAGTCCAGCATTATCAATCAGCTCCAATTTGTAATCCAAAAAGTCCTGTTGTATAAAATTAATAGTCCACAAGACCTCCCCCAAAGGGAGTCACCAAGAGTCAGCTTTCCTCTGTCTCTAGATAGTTCTTGAAAATAAAGATCTATAATCCAATAGGTTCCCCATAAAAAAGAAGAAGAAAAAAAGGGGGGGGAGAAAAAATTTATAATCCACTTTTGTCTTTCAACACCAACTCCAAGCAGTTATCCAATAAACCAAAATCATCAGTAAGCCAAGATTTATAATCCTCAAGGCCTTACTACTCTGAGTTAATAATCCATAAGGCCTCTCCCAAAGAGAATAACCAAATGTCAATTTTTTTCTGTCTCTGAATAGTTCTTGATACTGCAGCTCAAGTGATGTTTATAATCTAGGAAAGCCAGCTGGCTTCAGAGTAGTTTATATTTATAATCCATCCTGCAGAAAAACAGTCCAAAGAGTTCCTCTTCTTTTCCAGCTGCAATCTGCAAGGCTGAGAAGTTCAGGGACATCAAAGAGCCTAGCTTGCTATCTCTGTCTGAGCTTCAAGCAAAGGTCATTCTTTCCAGAGTACAAAACAAAACAAAAAAAAAAGAAAAGTCTTAGTGCTGTTCCTCTTTTCCACCACTAGATGTCACTAAAAGTCTATCTTTCAACCAGGACTTATTTCTCAAGAGTTCAGACTGATATTTTTTAAAGCAAATAAAGTGTCCAAAATATTTTAAGTCTCCCAAATTTTTCAATGTTACAACTTTAAATTATTTCCAATTTGGTTTTATAATCTATTTTTCTCCCCAAAGATGTTAAACTGCCGCCGTTTTTCTAGGGGGAAGGGCACCAAGAAAACCCCTACCCCACCATCTTGCTTCTGGGAGCTTTGCCTTTTGGGATTCTTTTTTCCAGGGAATTTTTTTAAAATAGTAAGAGGGGAAAAAATACTCTTACCGCCGTCTCTCCGTGATCTATGAAGGTCCCCTCCTACTTTGTCGCCTCTCTGGGGCGACTTTAGGCCCTTTTTGGGGGGCCAGCAGGACAAAATTGAACGCCGAAGGCAAAGCCCTGCTTCCCTGCGTCTGTCTCACTACGACGTGAAACCGGAAGTCATCGGATTTGTATTTATTTTATTCTTTGAAAAAATCCTACTGCGAAAATAAGACTGGGTCTTTTTTTCAGGGGATGTCTTACCCACTTACCTCAGGACCGCCACAGCCAGGCCTTCCACACCCTGACACCTGTCGCGCCAACGCCTGACTTCTTCTGCGGCCGCTCGCAGCAGGACACCATTTGGCATGTCGCGCCAGTGCTGCTGCTCATGGTAGGACGCCACGTGGCGCATCACGTTTGGTGCCACCGCTTGCGGTAGGACGCCACAGGGCACATTGTACCCAGTGCCACCGCTTGCAGGATGCCACGTAGTGCATCACGCCAGTGCTACAACTCACAGCAGAAAGCCACATGGTGCATTGTGTTGTGGCACATGTGAGCGGCGGCACTAATGCAATGCATCACGTGGCCTCTTGCCACGAGTGGCGGCACAAGCATGACACACCATGTGGCTCCTGCTGCGAGCGGCAGCCAGTAACCAGAGGTAGGCCAGCGGCCACGCAGACTCCTGCTGGATGGGGCTATTACTGCTGGTGCCGCCGCTGCAAGATGAGGCAAGGCAGGTGTGGGATGTGGGAGGCCTGACTGCAGGGCCCTGAAGTAAGCAGGTACAGGGCACTGGGGCAGCTCCACCCCCCACCCTAGCTTGTATTTTAGATGTCCGCCTCGCCTCATCTCCGTCTTAGGCCCAGTACTCTTCAATATCTTTATCAATGACTTAGATAAGGGAATAGCAAGGGAACTCATCAAATTTGCAAATGACACTAAACTGGCAGGAATAGCCAACACCCCAGAAGACAAGCTCAGGATTCAAAAAGACCTTGACAAACTGGAACAATGGGCCCTATCCAACAAAATGAGTTTTAATGTGGAGAAAAGCAAAGTTTTACATTTAGGCAGGAAAAATCAAGGATATAAGTACAGATTAGGTGAGACCTGGCTTAAAAACAGTAACTGTGAGAGAGAATTAACCAGTGGAAGAGCTTGTCTTCAGAAATCGTGGGTGCTCCATCACTGGAGGTTTTTAAAAAGAGACTGGACAGACACTTGTCTGAGATGGTATAGGTTCTCCTGCTTGAGTGGGGGGCTGAACTAGAAGACCTCCAAGGTCCATTCCATTCCCATTCCCATTCCTATTCTATTCTACCTCATACAACCAGATGGCGGGATGGAGTGGGCAGGGTCTTAACTAGGGCTTATTTTGGGGGTAGGGCTTATATTAGGCGCACATGTAAAAAAACAAGCTAGGTTTTATTTTCAGGATAGGTCTTATTTTCGGGAAAACATGGTAAATTCCAAACATGAGTGAAGTAGAAAGTATTAGATGGCTACTGTACTGGAGATGCTTGGTGTCGAATTAATATACCGTATTTTCCGGCGTATAAGACGACTTTCTAAACCCTGAAAATCTTCTCAAAAGTCGGGGGTCGTCTTATACGCCCAGCCGTCTTATACGCCGGAAAATACGGGTATTCTATTTTATTCCTTTACACATGTGGTTTGGCATATTACTCATCAAGTTTTCTCTCCCCCCTCTCTCTCGCTCAAACTCTATATTTTAACTGGAAAAGTTGGGGGTCGTCTTATACGTCCAGTCATCTTATACGCCGGAAAATATGGTACTTAAAATTAATAAGGTGCTCAACCTAGAATTTAATCCATTTTTAATGAATTAAAGGAACAGCTGACGTGAGGGGGAAAAAAAGCAAAGCACCGTCTAGTGACTTGTTTACTCATGGAGTGCCTTTGGGCCCCAACAAAATGAAAACAGCACTTTCAGTGGAAGTTATCTCCTGCTCATGCTTTCACTGGAAAGGGGCCCTGAAACAGCCATATTGAACATTCAAAATACCCCTCAATTATCCGAGAAGACTCTTCGCTGAGCTCACCACATGCTTGTTAATGAATACTTGCATAACCCTTGCAATCCCTTCCTATATAACTTTGTAAAGGCTCTGCTAAGAATGACAAAACTTTCCCATCACCTGATTGCCAACTGTCAAAATACTAGGATCAAATAGTTAGGACTGTGGTCATCAAATGAAAGTGGCTGGAAGACTTAGAACAGGTAAAGGAAAGCACTTCTTGCACAGAATGAAATAAATCACTTGGATTAAAAGCAGATTGGATATATCCAAGCAGGGCAAGTCTACTAAGGGATAATACTTAGTGTCATCTCTGGGTTGTGGGGGAAGGAAGGCATGATGCCTCCAAATATCATTTGCAGAAGAACAATAGAAGGATATGGCTAGCTCTCTATTGCCTGTTTGTGAGCCCCCAGTATAATATGAATTATATGGCAATGCCTATCTGAATGTAAGAAAATCTTATATTCAGATAGCCATTGCCATATAATTCACATTATAGTGCAAGAGTGCACACCCTCTTCTTGACATCACAGTTAACAATCTCTGTTCTCAGTACTGTAATGCTCTATACATGGGGCTCCCTGTGAGGAGCATCCGGAGGCTTCAACTGGTCCAGAATGCGGCCGCGCGGGCGGTGTTGGGAGGGACTCGTCGCTCCCACGTAACACCGCTGCTGCGCGAGCTGCACTGGTTACCAGTGGCCTTCCGGGTGCGCTTTAAGGTGTTAGTTACCACCTTTAAAGCGCTCCATGNAGCGGGTCTGGCCTAGGGAGAATTTTAAATAGGGACAATTTTAATTAGAATTTTAATATAACACAGCGGTTAAATATTTGTTTTTAATTGGTTTTTATTGGGGATAGTATTTGTATTGTTTTAATATGCTGTAAGCCGCCCTGAGTCCTGTTGGGAGAAGGGCGGCATATAAGTTTAATAAATAAATAAATAAATAAATAAATAACCATCATTAAAGAAGCTAATTTGATAATGTATACCAGCGGTTCTCAACCTATGGGTCGCAACCCCATTTGGGGTCGATCGACCATTTCACGGGGGTCGCCAAGCAAGGCTGTCCGCCATTTTTTTGTCCGCCATTTTTTCCCCCTTTTTTGGCGTGTGCCTTACCTCCCTTGGGCTGGGCCAGCTGTTGGTCGGCCTGCTCCGTCTCTGCCGCTTGCCAGCTACGCCTCGGCCGGCGCAGGGGGCGGAACCACGCATGCGCGGCGCTCCCGGGCAGGGAAAGTCCTCGACTTATGACCGGTTGGGTAGTCCTTGACTTACGACCGGTTTAGTCCTTGACTTATGACTGGTTTAGTCCTCGACTTACGACCGGTTGGGGGTCACGGCATTAAAAAGGTTGAGAACCACTGATGTATACCAACATCATGCCCTCTTTAATGCCACTCAACATATGTAAAGCACTACAGCTTTAGGGATTATGCTGGCTGGGGGAACTCTGGCACTTGAATCCACACACCTTCAAGTTGCCAAGGTCGAGGAACACTGTTCTATGCTATTAACATTCTATTCCTAATTGCCTTTACAGCATCGCTCCTCCAATTCCACAGGGGGTTCAAAATGTACACAAATGTGTAATTAATAGGGCCTTCCAACTTATTTTGCTTTCTGGGCTGTGTTGTCCTCCTCACACCTTATCACCCTATCACACATCACATCCTCAAAGACTGTTACTTTATCTCTTGAAACCTCACAGAGTGCAAAAACAAAAAATGGCCCATGTGTTTAGTCCCATCCAATCTGCAGAAGGGTCTAAAAAAAGTACAAGGCACAAGATGGCTTTTTGTCAACCCAGTTTTACTCACCTGCTGTTGGAGGTACCAGCTGGTGTAGTTTTTGCATAGCAACTCCTCCAGGGTAATTGAAGTGGGACACATAGAGTGATGCTCCTGAGTAAGCAGCATTAGCGAAAATGTGTGCTATAACAAACAGAGTGCCTAATTTGTATAACCATGATTTCTTGTAATTGTTTAGACTGTGAAGAACAGAAAAAGTTATTTAGTGGGCACAATATATCCAATGCCAATACGCAGCTGTTAAAACATCACATTGAATGTTAGATTACATGAATTGTAGATGTCATTTTATATTGTATTAAACTTGTTTACTTTCGGAGGCAGGAGCCCTGGGATTACATCCTACATGCACAGTTTTCCTTTGAAATTTGCATTTTCATCTTCAGTTAAGTATGGTTCAGCATGATACTCAAACTCTCAACTGCAATTAACCCTAGCTCTAATATACAGGTCAAAGTCAACCTGATTTAGAATATTATACATTGGTCTAGTCTATTTATTTAGGTTGATATCCCAAAGATGCTTTTTCAGGAGGCAACTGGACTTTCTTGTTTTTCTTTAAGGATGTTTCATTTTTCATCCAAAAAGCTTCCTCAGCTGAAGAAGCTTCTTGAAGGAGAAACGAAACATCTTCAAAGAAAATCCAGTTGCCTCCTGAAAAAGCACCTATGGGATAACTATGACCTGGATGACTGAGAATCCCCATAGTCGTTCAGGTTGATACTAAACCCTGATTAGATAGACATGAAAGTAAAACTTTGCAATCATGGAAGAAGTTCAAACTTTTAGTGCAGGGGTCCCTAAACTCTTAGCCATGCACCCCATGAGAACTGGGCCACGCAAGCAGTGGGCAAGGGTGCAAAGCTTCATTTGCACATGAGCGGGATTAGATTGCACACCCAAACCATCCCTTCCCCCTCTCTGCCACCGATCCATGGAGCCATAAATGTTGGGGATTGCTGTTTTACTGGACTTTAAAGAGCAACAGGGGGACAGAATTTACTACATATAATATGCACAAACAAAATGAATTTGTTTTTAATGGGGATTTTTTTTCACCCTTTGTAAAGACAGAGATTAGTTTGCTGTAGTTTAAAATTCATAGTACTAAACAGCTTGCATATTTTCTAATCCAAAAGGTCATGGGAAATTTTACATCTTATTCACTAATTCACTCTCATCAAGTCTTAAGGCCAAGTGACTGATGCCCTGAGGGAATGACAAAATAAGAATCTTTTATTCCAGGTCAGCCCTTCCCAATCTGGGGCCAACAAGATGATTATGATTGCAACTCCCAGAATTCCTATCAAGGTTATTTGGAGAACAATGTGATTGATAAACTAGCAAGTGATGAATAATGAAGTCAAGATCTTGAAACAGAAATTAAATATAGTACGTACAAGTACACTTACATTCGTGAGCAGCCTTTGGCAGCCACTATATTCAAAACTGGAATTGTGTATATTATAAACCGCAGCTCTTTGTGTGGAAGGAAGGAATACAAGGAAATAAAACCAAGTGAAGGTAGAAGTAACATCCAACATCTTCGGTCTATTGTTCCTAGTGGTAGAAATACAATACTGCAACCCAGAGCCCGAGGCAAGGCAGAGTAAAAATACCACAAGAAAGGCGAGGTCTTTAAAAAGACAGTTAAGGATATTTTTTTTTAAAGGCTATTTGAATTAATAATTTTCTCAATGTGGTGTCTTCTACATTTCTAAAATTGTCTAGGAAAATGTCACATAGCTACTAGAAACCTTCAAGAAAAAAATACCTGGTTTTCAACATTTTCTTATGTTTATGCTTCTTTGATTCATGAATAAGGTACTTTATCATACATAAAATTATAAAATATATTCAGTGAGATACAAAATCACCTCTTTCATTTAATTCTTGTATGAAAAAAAGTAGAAAGCATATATGCTAATGCACCCACACACAAACATTCCCCATTCCCAATTCTCATCTCAGATACCCCGAATTTGTCACTGAAAAACTTGTGATTTTATGTAACCAACATAACCACACAATACACCGTGAGAATAAAATCACAGGTTTGGCAGAATTCCATTGTTTGAGATACGATGCATCTACAAATTTTGAACCAAGGTACTTCAAATGGGCTAACTTAAGAATGCAGCCAAAATCTGAGACCCATGACTTCCAAAGGAATTAAATTTGGGAAAGCTGTGGCTACTCAGTGCTACTAGCTGCTGTTACACTGCTGGGCTGTTGCTGCGATCACATGATTTTCATTTTCAACATTCTGTGACAGTTTCCCAGCCAGTCTCACAATACCTCATACCTTCTCCAAGGCAGCAGCAATTACTTGCTGGCAAGGGAAAGGAAGGGAGAAAGAAAGGAGGAGACAGACCTTTTCCAGGTGAGTGATCTGTGCCTCAGAAGCTCCCTAAAGCAGTTTCTTCTCCCCCCCCCCGCTCCGTAAAGGGCTTTCGGCTGGAGCCGGAACTGTGCGTGAGTTCCGACACCCTTTCTTTTCTTTTCTTTTTTATAAAAAAAGCACTGTCCCAAACTATGCTGCTCACCCACGTGACCTCCGCAACCAATATGGTATCTCTAGTGCATACCTATCCACCCTTCCCAATCCATGCGATACCTTTTGTGCAACCCCATATTCGTATCCCCCATACACCCCATAGCTCCCTTCCCCACCCATCAACTGCCACGTACCAGTCTGCAGGTCTTGCAACTTCCTGCTGGCTTCCTCACTGACTTTTTCCTTACAAAGTAAATGAGGAAGCTGGCAGGAGAGGGAGGGAGGGAGGGAGGGAGGAGGGAGGGAGGGAGGAAGGAAGGAAGGGAGGAAGGAAGGAAATGACAGAGGGAGGGAGGAAACGAAGGAGGCAGGAAAGAATGGTGAAGAAGTATCTCTAAAATGATGACCCAAGAGTGTGCAGGTTGTCCAGTAAATTTTAAAATTGCCACTGAAAACAATGAAATAATACTGTAATTAAGCGTGCTTAGTGAAGTCTTGCCCCTATCAACAAACATAGAACTGAGACCAGCAAAAAACAAACAACAATGGCATTGCACTCACTTTAACCAATCTATAAATATAAAAACAAAAACACTTCTTTTGCTATTAAACTGAAGCCTTTTTCATAATGAACATAGCTAAGAGCCATGGTGGCACAGTGGTCAGAATGCAGTACAGCAGGCTAATTCTGCTGACTGCTGGCAGTTCGGCAGTTCAAATCTCACTGGCTCAAGGTTGACTCAGCCTTCCATCCTTCCAATGAGGAGCCAGACTGTTGAAGGCAATATGCTGACTCTGTAAGCTGCTTAGAGAGGCACTGTGAAGCGGTATATAAGTCTAAGTATTATTGCTATTACGGTTGGACTTGGCAACCTAAAAGGTAATTATGCTATCGGTTATGTACTGTTCTGTCTTATGTACCCATTTTCATTTGGAAATTTGTCAAAAAAAAAGGCATAACAAGATTCATGAACTGAATAATGCACACTTACATTTGATAACCAACCTCCCCCCCCAAAAAAATAAGCAGAAGACATGCAAAAATAACAGGGATTTTATTGGAACCTGTGAACTCTAATTTTCAATTAGGAAAAGGTAAAAGAAAAGACATACATACTAAGCAAAAACCAGTACACAGTGATGCTTAAGCTTGTGGACCATTTTGAATTTTCAGTATTTCTGCATAAGTATGATCTAAAACATGATCTAACTTCTACACAATTCCTAAAAGTGGATAGAGAGAATGCAATTAAACAAGTCACAAACATTTAAGCACCACCATATGTTTACTTAATTCATCCTCACTACCACCCTGTCCATTACTTCATCTTATTGCAAATGACAGCAAAGATGGATCTGTGCCTTCTGATTGCATTAGCCAATGTACTTTCTAGATCTTCCTACTTTGGAGAATTAAAACAATAACAAGCACCCTGGCTGAGGAATTCCGAGAGTGAAGTCCACAAGTCATAAAAGTGCCAAGTTTGAAGACCCCTGATTTAAAGGCTCCAGCTTTTAACTCAGTAAGAGAGAAAGGTACTTTTTTTAAAGCTGTATAAGAGTCTCCCTATTCTGAGCAACGCAAGGTTTGTAGCACCAATTATGCTCATGTCCTTTTTATAAGTGATCACTTCTATGTCATTTTGAAAGTGATGAATCTGGGCTGAAAAACAAAACCAATATTAACTGGGCTGAACCACGGAGCCCATCACTAATCTCTCCATTCCAATACTCACACTCTGGAGGAAGAAAGTATATATCCACCTTTTAATATAAAAGGAGCGTTCTATAGAAGCTGGAACCTTGCATGATAAGAATTTTCTACCTCCAAAGGTATCCACAAGCCAGTGGAATAAGATGAGAAATGTAGAATCAAGTGTAAGAAATAGAAATGGCTAAAGATATTTTGTATTTGATTCCATACGAATTACAATTCTTGCTATGACTAGAAAGTGATGTGGCTTGGAAAGGATGCAAAATAAAGAGTTTTATGAGAAAACCTTTTACCTCATCTAGTTATTTGCAGTTATTCCTCTCACATTGTGAATATTGAATTCATTTACATTGTGCTACAGAATTTTGTTTCCTCCGTGTTTAAAAGGATACTCCCCAGTTGGAGCTTTTATTTAAGACAACGTTATACCAAAGTACCTTTCCCTCAGGCCACAAGAGCTGCTTCCAAAACACAGAATCCAGAGTCACTGTGAGTCCTGAAAGGAAGAAACAGCCAAAAGTGAGGAGCTATGCAGAAATCACTTAAAATAGCAACAAAGTTGGTTCAACATGTCTTGAATCAATAAATATGACGGCCATTCCAGAACGGGATGGAAATCAGCCTATTATCTGAAATATTGATTGGAGTGCATAGGCTGCAGAATCACAAGGCTGTGACTTGAAAAGGGCTCTAATTACTGCCCCTTCTGCCTGAAGTTAAGAAATACATTGGTTTGATTTCACAGGATTAAAAACATGGAGGCAAGGTCTGCCATTCAGATAGGATTTTGGGAGACATCCAGGGCCGCACTTGGAATTTTCAAGAGAGCCTCTATGTGCAACCAGACTGCCCAATTCTCTTTTGTATTAAGCAAGATATATTGCCATCATCTTCTTATAAGCTAAGTAAGTCCACAGGCTAAGATGATCTAGTTGCACAACTGATGAACAAAGGGCAGGGTCCCACAAAGGGCTATAATTGCACACTAAACCACAGTGCAGAATTTTTACTTACACTCAGCTTTTGAGTAATGTAACATGACCCACAGTCCAAAAGTAGTTGATAAGACCAAGAAAATAGGTATCATTTATTTAAAATTTAATATAATTACAATTAATTACAGTTAAGATTATTATTTTCCAATCATACAATCAATAATTTTCCAACTCAAACATATCAAAAGTAACAATTTAGGAACATTTTTTTGGAGATCTTTAGGGGTCACATTCAAGGCCCTCAAGGACAGCATGTGGTCCTGGGCTTCAGGAGATGTATCTCTGATGTAGTCTACCTGCTCCTCTTATTCCACCGCCGGCATAGGCCATAGGTATGCCCTTGTAGTTATGGAAGTTGTAGTTTTGCACGACTAAATGACGCCAAGACAGTTCTACCCACTCTAGGATTTGGAAGAATCTTGAGTGTGCACATAAAAATATCAATTCATCGTGAAAACAGTTTATCAGTCAGGAGCTAGGCATGCACACTAAAATGGGTTGTTCAATATTCCAATGTCCCCATCCATATCACCTTTTTCTTATATAATGGTCAGATTGAGATAAGCAGAGCCTTCCTTATCTGCATAAGCTTCCTTCCTGCACATCTGGGATGGGCAACTTTCCCAAGATCAGGACCATAACTGTCTCTCATGAGCTGCTGAAGCCTTGCAAAAGATATTGACAAAAAAGAGAAAATGGGATAGGTCTGATTTTTGGAGGGACGTTGGGGGGTTTTCATTTTTTTAGTGTTTCTGGATGGAACTGGAGCAAGAAAACTTTAGGAGGAAAACCATGCCTAATTCCACCCTTAAAAACTCAGCAAATGGCCAAAAGGTATGCCTTTCAAACCCATGTGCATGTTAGCTGAATACTGATGGTACTGTTTGGGGATGCTTTGGGGAAGGAATTAAGAAATGGGATACATTTCCTGTATAGATAACTCCCATTACTATCCCCAAATATCAACTATTTTGCTATCAAATGTTGTTGGCAAAATCTCAGGTTACTATAAATGAGCTGATGAAAGACAAGTTATACAAATAAATAGAAAAATCCACTGAACTGGAAAAACTTGTTGTTTTTAAAAATGGTAAATATAGTAGTGTATATGTAGTGTATATGTAGTGAAGTGGCTAAAGGCAGCAGTCTAGAAACTGGTAGACCAGAAGTTGCAGCCCCATGCTCAGCAAGCAGTCAACTGGATGACCTTGGGCCAGTCACTCTTTCTTAGCTCTAGAAAGAAGGCAATGGCAAACCACTTTTGAAACTGTTGCCAAGAAAATTGCAGGGACTTATCTAGGTGGCCACCAGGTGTCAAAACTGACTTGAAGCTATAAAAAGGCATGAAACTACTATGGAATATTAGTAGCTGTAAAAAATGAGGTAGTCAGTAAAACTGAAACTGACAGTTTCCCATTCTTGGTCCTGGTCTATCTGAGGTAGATAAGTAACATGATACTTTGGATGATGATAAATCTATATCCCATAAGCCATAACCAGCTTGGTCAGTAATGAAGAATAATGGAATCTGCAAGCCAACAATACCTGGAAGTCCATCTCTGATATAAAATATGTAACACAGGACCAAATCACCTTAAATTATAAATCACTTAGCGAACACTTAAAGTTCTGATGTTCCTATCTGGGGGGTTCTTACAACCGAATTCAAAGCTTTGACCCTAAGTTCCCCCGCTGTCACATGACTGCATGTTGGGTATTCAGCAACTGCGTAGCATTTATGGCCATATGCAGCATCCTGTGGTCATATGACCAAGTTTTACAACAGTTTTGCCAAAACCACAGCATTTGCACCCATAACAAAACCACAGGTTCGCTTAATGACTGTGATGTTCATGTAGTGAAGATTCACATGCAAAAAAGGTCATAAAATCAGGTCAGTCATGATTATGACTATCATGAGTGACAACTGTGATGAACAGGCTCCCTTATGGTCATATCTTGTATATCGCTCACAGTTCATGTATTTTAATATATGTCAATTTTAAATTCATTTCTCTCCATCTTTTAAAATGAGATTAAGAAGTAATGTAATTTAAAATTTTGCAATGTAGCTTTAGAATAGCCATTTCTGAAGAAAATCCCATTAATTCAAACCACTTACCTAACCAAAAAGCCCCTGCAGGAACAGCATAGAAAAGCATTTTTGTAATGGAGAGTTTTTTATTAAATAGAGTTATCAGCAGCATAAGGCCCAGGAATATGCAAAGCTCTGCTCTGAAGACAATGATTGCCAAAGCCGAGAACCAAATAAACAGGCGGTGCTTTTGTTGCATCCAAGATGTAACTGCTAGTAAAACTGTTTAACAAATGAACAGAAAAATCAGGTGTTAGTAACTTAGCATATTAATCGCGATCAGGATCTAAATATATCAAAGCCAATTAACAAATCTACTACATAATCAAAATCAAACTTTCAGTAAACTTTAAGTTCATTCCCGTTAAAGCATATGGTTGGATCATAAATTGCACCATTGGAAGAGAATGATTGTAGGTGGGGGGGTGTACATAATATTTTAAAGAGAGAGTTCTACAGGGTGGAGTAACGATCTCAACTCAGTTGGGTTAGAACTTTCTGATTTATTTTACCTTTGTGTTTAGGAGTGGAGCTGTTTCTAAATAATATTAAGCCTATTTTAGGGTTTTTTTCCCCCTGGTATTTTACGTTTCTGATTTTCAATAATTTTGGTGGGAGGGGACTTCAAAAAATGTCTGTGTGGTCTCCCATCCCACAGCTTGGTGGGTTTAGGCACTCCCGTTCTTCATTTATACACATCAGACACAGAGTGCATTTGTATCTGCTGGCCTTCTCAGCTGTGGGCAAAAGAACATCTCAAGCCAATCACAACCCCTTTTACTATGTCATTATGAACACTGCTTTATCATTATTTACTGATCAAGGAAGGTTTTCAAAAGCATGCTCAGTACTTACCAACAGGAAGTGCAAATATGTTGGGGAGGGTACGAGTGCAGTAAAACATCAGGTGGAATTGAGTAACTGATATTAGGCAGAAAATCAGGGATACAGTAAAACCAAACTGCTTTCTCACTTCTTTGTGTAGCCGCCATAAGGTATAAATCACAGTCAAGCCTAAGGTTCCTCGGACTGATGGCAAAATAACATGAATAACAATGAAAAATCAGCTTTATTATCTGTAATAGAAATAATACCAGGTAATGTTCACGGTCTAACTAACTTTGGCTATATAACAGTATTAGAAATTACAATGATTTACAATACAATAAAAACACCCATAAAGAAAAATGGCTCCATCTCATACCTATCAGCTGGGAGTAGAATTTTGACATTTGTAAAAGGGACAATATATAGATGGCTGGACTGGAAAGAAGAGCAATAAAAATTGGACCAAGGAATGTTCTTGGGACAACTCCAGGAAATTCATGATGATCATACTGCAATAAAAAAAAATCCATAACACAGGTATATAAAGTAGCTACAAAAAGAAATTCTATAACGTTATTATATTTGTTCTTTGTTGTTAGTTAAAGCAAAGATGATTCAAATTAGTCATCAATGTGTTTGCTCCAAAATTCATAAGACCAGGAATGTCTTTAGAGGAATAGTTACTGGGATTTTGTCTGGGAATAAATAAAGAGGTTCTACAGTTTTCTTGGAAAGATTTTTCAGAGGTGGTTTGCCATTGTCTCCTTCCTAGGGCTGAGAGCAAGCAACTGGCCCATGGTCATCCAATTAGATTTGTACCTAAAGTTGAATTAGAACTCACAGTCTCCCAGATTCTAGCATGATTCCTTAACTACTTCACTAATCCTTCTTAGTTTAAGGTCTCACTGCTTTGTTAGTTCTTCCAATTATGGAAACAATCATAGAAATTTAAGTAGTATTTATTTGGAACACCAATTCATAGAGTAAAGTTCTTCACATGATTCCAATATCAATAGTTCTAAAAGGTTACATAGAGATTTTTTTTTCCTAAGGTGGAGATCAGATCTTCAGTATTTGAGTCCAAAATCAGCTGATCTGTAGATTGTGCTATTAATTTTTACTTAATTGGAAGCATTGCAGCAAAATATGTTATTGGCAGATAAATTGAGCAAGATAACAGCAATGGTGCCTCCGAAAATAAAAAAGCATGGGAAATTCTGAGAATTACATATATGGGTAATTGGAGTCTACACATGGCCTGTAGATGGCCTAGTCTTTTTTTTTTTAATACATTCGATGAACAAAATATTAGAATTAAACACTTAATCCTGGATAATTTCTCAATCAGATAATCCACGATGGAACATATTTTTTAATCCAGCTAAATAATTAGCTATTGTTTCTAATTCTTCTATATTCATGCAAAAACATGTGACAGGTAATAATAATGTTGAGCATAATAGAGTATTAGTGTAATTACAATCATTAAGATGCTACTGGCTTTGAAAATAACTCAGGAGCAAACTAAAAACAGAACAATCAGAAAATAACAAGATTTACCTTATCTAATTCCAGCTTTTCATACAAAATGTCATGTATGGCTTGAAGATTAAAGCTCTCCTCTACTTTTGTAAATGGGCACACAACTAAGTGAATGAAGGCAACAGCAACAATCAGTAACAGCAGCCATGGTTGCCCTCGGGATGGTTTCTTCTCAGCCATTCTGGATCTAAAATTCCCATCTACATTATTAGTTTAGAAAAAAATCAGAATGAGAAAAAATATCTGCTGTAGAAGGCAAACAGACATTGAGCATATAGCAAAACCAAGATCAGACCTGGGTAAGCACAAACATTTTACCTGTCAGTAAATGCTTTTACTTATTTCCTGAAGCTTAATGAAGCTACCGTATTTCCCCCAAAATAAGACCCGGTCTTATATATTTTTTTTGCCTCCAAAAGAGGCACTGGATCTTACTTCTGGGGGGTGTTTTGCCTTAGGACCATCACAGCCAGGCCTCCCACACCCTGACACCTGTCACGCTGCTGCTTGATTTCTTCAGCGGCCGCTTGCCACCACTTGGGGCTGGACACCATGTGGCGCATTGTGCTGTTGCCGCTTTAAGGGGAGTGAAGCTGCCCTTTACCGGTAGAACCACTGCAGCCAGGCCTCCCACACCCCGACACTTGTCAAGGTGTGTGGCTCATCATGTCAGTGCCGCCACTCGCGGCAGCAGGTTGCACAGCGCTTCGGGCCATTGCTGTTGTTCGCGGCAGGACACCACGTGGCGCTTCACACCTTTGCTGTCGCTCGTGTCAGGATGCTGCATGGCGCTTTGGGCCATTTCCGCCGCTCACTGCAAGAAGCTAAGCAGGTCTTCGGGCCATTGTTGTTTCTGAGCAGCGGAAATGGCCCGAAGTGCCATGCGGCGTCCTGCCGCAAGCGACAATGGCCCGAAGAGCTGCTTGGCTTCTTGACGTTGAGTGGCAGAAACGGGCCAAAGAGCCATGTGGTGTCCTGCCACAAGCGACGGCATGCGGCGTCCTGCCATGAGCAATAGCAATGGCCTGAAGTCCTATCCTGCCGCGAGCGGCGGCACTGGCATGACGAGCCACACGGCTTGACAAGTGTCGGGGCATGGAAGCCTGGCTGCGGCAGTCCTACCAGTAAGATAAGTGAGTACAGGGCGCGTGGGGCAGCTTTACCCCCCAACCCCAAACTAGAGCTTACTTTGGGGGGGCTTATATTAGACCCACACCCAAAAATCAAGCTGGGGCTTACTTTCAGGGGGGGCTTACTTTCAGGGAAACACGGTAGGCTTAACTGTAGTAGTCACCTGGCTGCTCTTTCCAATTACACAGTTGCCATCCTCTGCTGAAAGACAGAATAGCAATCTAGAATTGTTCTGGGCCTTCAAACTACCTTGCTCTCCCATTGCTAGTACTAGTCAATTACATTTGCAAAAAGGGACTGAAAAAGGCACATATTTTAAACATCATACCACCTTGTTCTTTCAGAAAACATAATGGACCAATCAATTGTCATTATTGTCCTATTATTGGAGATAATGCAGAAGCTACAGTTGGTCCAAAATATGGAAGCTTTGGTAATTACTAGACAACCACTGACCCATTGGCTCATCCTTTCCGATATATGTAATAATGTGGATTAAGGTATTATATTTTGGAGCAGGGGGACAGAGATTTACACTTAGTTGTGAAACTTGCTGTCTGACCTTGGGCCAGTCACTCTCTCAATCGAACCCATCTCACAGGGTTGTTGTTGTGGGGAAAAAGAGAAAGAAGGAATATTAAGTATGTTTGCTGCCTTTAATTACTTATAAAGTACCAAAGATGAGATAAAAATGGAAGGAAGGAAGGAAGGAAGGAAGGAAGGAAGGAAGGAAGGAAGGAAGGAAGGAAGGAAGGAAGGAAAGAAGGAAAGAAGGAAAGAGGGAGGGAGGGAAGGAAGGTGGCACTCAGAGCCCTGAGGGCATGCGCGCTGCCACCGCCAGCAGCTCACACAGGTCCATTAGGCCACTGCCGCTGCCCTGAGCGGCAGCCCCGCCCAGCACAAAAGAGATGAAGCTTGAGCACAAGCTTGAGTAGAGGTGGTAAGAGCACGCCCACACCCAGTAAGCCAAAGGCCACCCCGAGCAGAGAAAGCCAGATCCCCATTGGCACCATGGCCCCCCAGTCCAAATTGTGTGCCTTCCCCCCATCTCTGCTGGGCCTGGGCAGCCATGACGCCAATGGGGATTTGGCTTTCCCATTGGCCTTTTGCCTGCTGGCCCTAGGCATGCTCTACCACCTCTATGTGGGGCTTCCTAGCCAACCACTTCGCCTCCTTCGTGCTGGGCGGGCCTGCAGCTCTGGGCGGTGGCTTAATGGACCTGCGCGAGTGGCTGGTAGCCGCGGTAGGTACCAAGGTGTGCGAGGGGAATGGGCTCCACCTGCTGAAAGTGCACAGGGGCTGACAGCATCCGGCAGCAGGGGCTGCATAGCCCGCTTTGAATACTGCGCCAGCCCTTCAGCAGCACTGCTGCGGCAGCACTGGCAGCACACGGAGTGGGAGGAGCATGTGATGTGGACCGCCAGACAGACCTACTCCATCCCATCTCTTTTTGGTTGGAGAGCTGGTCACCACTGGTCATCTCCTCAGCCCCCTCAAGGGTCTTGCCCTTGGCCTGCGGGTGGAGTGCATTCCCCTCGCGCACCTTGGTACCTACCAAAGCCGCCAGCCGCTCACGCAGTTTCATTAGGCCGCCGCCCAAAGCTGCAGGCCCTCCCAGCATGAAGGAGGCAAAGTGGTCGGCTAGGAAGCCCCACACAGAGGTGGTAGAGCACACCCATGGTAGCAGAAAAAAGGCCACCCCAAGCGGGGAAAGCCGGATCCCCATCAGCGTCATGGCCGTCCAGGTCCAGCAGAAGAAGGGGTGGGGGGGAAGCATGCAATCCTAATTGAGACTATGCAACCATGGCGCTGATGGGGATTTGGCTTTCCCTGCTTGGGGTGGCCACTCAGGGTGGTCTTTGGTTTGCTGGGCATGGGAGTGCTCTACCACCTCTACTCGAGCTTCGCATCCTTTGTGCTGGGCAGGGCTGCCACTCTGGGCGGCGGCCTAATGGACCTGTGCGAGCTGCTGGCAGCGGCAACCCAAGGTGGGGCCAAGGTGTGTTGGGTGCACGAGGGGAACAGGCTCCACGCACGGACCAAGAGCAAGATCTGCGAGGGAGCTGAGATGACCAGCAACAACCTGCTCTCCAACCGCAAGCAAAAACAGATGGAACGGAGTAGAGGCATCCGGTGGTTTGCATCATGTGCCTCCCCCCTCCCCTACTCCGCCTGCTGCTGGAGGTCTGGCCCGGTATTGGCAGCGGAGCTCCAGAGTGCACTGGTAGAGGAATCGGCAGGCTGTGGCTGCTGATGGACACCGTTGGCCCCCATGCACTCACTGGTCTGTGTGTGGTGGCCGATGATGTCAGGCAGCAGCTGCCCCCGCACCTGCCTCGCCTTGCCCCACAGCAATGGCACCCCCGCCCTGCCCTGCAGGATGTGCCTCTTGCCCATCATCCCACCCTCCAGAGACCCCCTGGATCTCCCCCAACCCTGCATTCCCCAGGCATTCCCCCCATGAGCAACAAGGTGGCCACACTCACCCCAGCCACACGTACCCAGTCTGCCTTGACTACCACAGCTACGCCCCCCGTGGGTCACCCCCCCCCCCAGGGCACCACAATGCTGATGCAGCCCCAGCACTTTGTGATAAATAAGTGGGTTTTGGGTTGCAGTTTGGGCACTCGGTCTCTAAAGGTTCGACATCACTGCCCTACTCCAACACATCCCCTTTCCTCCAGGCAGGTAAGATTCCTTCATTATTTCTTAAACAAGACATCGATTGCAGGAAACTTGAGGTAGATATTTTAAATGCAAAGTGGAAAGGAAAAAAATGCTTTTCTAATTGAGTTGACTTATCCCCTGCCTTTCCTCAAGAGTTTAAATCAGAGAAATACAGTACTCTTCTCCAGTTTTGGTCACCGCGGTGTAAAAAAGATGTTGAGACTTTAGAAAGAGTACAGAGAAGAGCCACAAAGATGATTAGGGGACTGGAGGCTAAAGCATATAAGGAACAGCTGCTGATAGCAGTGTTCCAATATCTCAGGGGCTGCCACAAAGAAGAGGGAGTCAAGCTATTTTCCAAAGCGCCTGGAGGCAGGACAAGAAGCAACGGATGGAAACTGATCAAGGAGAGAAGCAACCTAGAACTAAGGAGAAACTTCCTGACAGTGAGAACAATTAACCAGTGGAACAACCTGCCTCCAGAAGCGGTGAATGCTCCAACACTGGAAGTTTTTAAGAAGAGACTGGACAGCCATTTGTCCGAAATGGCATAGGGTTTCCTGCCTGAGTAGGGGGTTGGACTAGATGACCTTCAAGATCCCTTCCAACTTTACTATTATTATTATTATTATTATTATTATTATTATTATTATTATTATTATTATTATTATTATTATTATTATTATTATTATTTGTTGATCCCAACCATCCCGAGAGTGAAGCTGCACTGAGAACGAGGAAGAGGCTGAAGTTCCCCCAGTGGGCTTCCGTGGCTGAGAATGCTCCACCTCCATCCCATTTCCCTCAGTCTTAAAGACACCCCCCCTTTTAATTTCTCTGCCAACATCTTCTTCGCCGGAACTCTTTTTTAAATCTGATTATTCCCGTGGAAGGCGAGCCTCCCGCGTCTGCTCCTTTCCCCGCCGCCTTCCTCCCGATGCGACCCAGCAGCCCAAACGAGAGACCCACGTAACCCTCCAAGCAGGGCCAGCCGGGGAAAAAAAAAAGCCCGGCGCTTCCACCGCCCTCTTTCCAAACCCAGCCGGACTCACCCGGAAGGCGCCCACGTGGACTCCCCCGACCGGTCCCCGGGGTCACGTGACACCCCTCGGCTCCGGGGGCGGGGGGCGGGGCCGGCTTTGTCACGTGACTCGCCTTGCTCGGAGGCTTGCACTGAAGCTCCCCGCGGGTCGCGCTTTTCCTTTTTTGCCTCGGGGGCCGCATCGGAAGAGTCAACGACCCGGGTTCGCTGGCTTTTCTCCTTTAATCGGCAGGCTCCGCAATGTTCTCGGATAGGAAGAGATATACCATTTCCTTCTGTCCCTGCCCGGATTTGACACGAGAGGCGACTCCAGTGAATTGGGGGTATTTCTTGCACTTTTGGGCTGG